TTAAAGATTTGGACAGGATGATACTAAAATACATATGGCAGAAAAAAAAGGCAAGAATCAAATTAAAGCATTTACAGGATAAACGAGATAGAGGAGAAATGGGACTTCCCGATTGGCAGATTTATTACAAAGCGTCAGTATTAACATGGATAAAAGATTGGATTGAATTGAAAAATAGACAAACATTAACATTGGAAGGTTTCGACTTGACAAAGGGATGGCATGCATACTTATGGGAAGACAAACCCACAAAACAAGAACAATTCCGTAGACACATTGTGAGAAATACCCTGATCAAAACCTGGAACGAAATCAGAAAGATTCACTTTAGAGATCCACGTTGGATCTCTACAATGGAAGCACAAATCTACCCAAATTCAATGGACCCAAATAAAATGAAAACATATCAGGATCTTTTAAATGAAGAAGGAAAACTAAAAACAATAGAACAACTAAAAACTCAAGGGCTTGAAATGGATTGGTGGCCATACTTACAATTACAATCCAGACACAAAACAGATATGGAGAAATTTGGAATCCAAAAAGAACTAAACCAACTGGATAAAATCTTATTGGGCCCCAATGAGAAATTAATAACAAAAATCTATAATTTCTTACTGGCATATAAATTAGAGGAGGAGATAGTCGAGGAAAATATGATTACGTGGGTGATGAACTTTGGATACCCTATAGAATTAAACAAATGGGAAAAACTATGGAAAATTAACAGTAAATTAACCTTATCAGTACCATACAAAGAAAATATTTACAAGATGTTTTATAGATGGCATCTCCCACCGGCACGAATCTCCAAAATGTTCCCCAATACATCTTCACTCTGCTGGAAATGCAAAGCACAAAAAGGGACATACTACCACATGTAGTGGTCGTGTCCCAAAGCCAAACAATTCTGGAATAATATCAAAACCCAATTGGAACAAATAACAGCCCCAAAAGTACCACTAAGACAGGAAACATATTTATTAGGCATATTTACAAGTAATTACGACAGAGAAACAATATACTTGATCACACATATTTTGACTGCCTCAAGGATCACTTATGCAAAAAATTGGAAATTGGAAGAAGTCCCAACACAAGATAGAATAATATCTAAAGTCATGGAATGTGCTGAGATGGACAGACTCACCAAGGAAATTCAAGGAAAGGAAGAATCTGACTACTACCTGGTTTGGCAAAGGTGGTATCAATGGTTAGAGGGGAAAAACAAAACCAAAAGAGGATCCTAAAAGAGTAAAACAAAATTCTGTACCAAATAAGATATAACAACCCATAATTAAAGATTTAAAAATAATATCATTATATAAGGCGAGAGGAAGGAATATATATTGAGGAATTTAGGTTATTGATGTCGGATAAAATCAGACACTACGTTTAGATGTCATTTATGTTATTAATGTCGTATTTGTCATTTGTATGTGTATGTGTTTTTTGTGTGTTTATATATGTAATAAAAATCAAAAAAAGAAAAAGAAAAAAAGAAAATGACCTATTCAGTACCAAGATTGCATGAATTAGCTGTCAAATTCTTTAGATTTCCTGCCCTATTTTTTTCTTCAAATAATCTTAAAACAAACTATGTAAACAGATGAATAATTTATGTATATTCTACTTTTGATCTATATAAAAGCGAAAGACCACTCATGCATCATCACAAAATCTCCAGAACCATAAAGCCTTCAAACTTGAAATTTGCCACGTATGTTCCTCTTGGCTTCTAGGTGCTCACTAAGAAAGGATTTTTTGAAATGACCATCAGAGCATTAATATTTCCAGTATTATTATTAACATGCTCTGATGCTAAGGAGTTTTATTCCCCCTCCCCATCTGAAAAGAAATATGTTCCAAATACAAAACACAAGCAGAGGAGTTTCAGTTTTACTTTCACAGCAACAAGCAGGGGATAGGATAGGGGAGGCTTCTGTGGGGCAAGGCTGAGGGAGAGAAGGGGATAGGATAGGGGAGGCTTCTGTGTGGCAAGGCCGAGGGAGAAGGAGGATAAGATAGGGGAGGCTTCTGAGGGGAAAGGCTGAGGAAGAGAAGGGGATAGGATAGGGGAGGCTTCTGTGGGGCGAGGCTAAGGGAGAGAAGGGGATAGGATCAGTGGTGGAATTCAGATTTTTTTACTACTGGTTCTGTGGGTGTGGCTTGGTGGGCGTGGCAGGGGAACGATACTACAAAATCTCCATTCCCACCCCACTCTGGGGCCAGCCAGAGGTGGTATTTGCCAGTTCTCCGAACTACTCAAAATTTCCGCTACCGGTTCTCCGGAACCTGTCAAAACCTGCTGAATTTCAGCCCTGGATAGATAGGAGAGGCTTCTATGGGGCAAGGCTGAGGGAGAGAAGAGGGTAGGATAGGGGAGGCTTCTGTGGGGCAAGCCTGAGGGATAGAAGGAGATAGGGGAGGGGAGGGTTCTGTGGGGCAAGGCAGAGGGAGAGAAGGGGATAGGATACAGGAGGCTTCTGTGGGGCAAGCCTGAGGGAGATAAGGGGAGAGGAGAGGCCAATCGTAACTACTCATTAATTTTCAAGCTGTCGATTTATCAAGCCTGATCACATAGTTTTGTAGCGGAGCACGGGTATTCAGCTAGTATATAAATACCAAGGAATGCTACTTCATTCATAAATAGCTTTGATAAGAGATGTTTTGAATAAATTTTAAACAGATTGCTTCATCCCCACATCTTTATATATTATCCTCTCTCTCTTCTCCTTCTCCTCTCTGTTTCCACACATACACATATACATGCATGCATGCATACATACATACATACATAGAAGCACATTTATAAAAGCTATGTTATATGTCTTTCTTTCATGGTGACCATCCAGTTTTGGTCGCTACGATGTAAAAAAGATGTTGAGACTCTAGAAAGAATGCAGAGAAGAGCAACAAAGATGATTAGGGGACTGGAGGCTAAAACATATAAAGAACGGTTGCTGGAACTGGGTATGTCTAGTCTGATGAAAAGAAGGATTAGGCATGACATGATAGCAGTGTTCCAATATCTCAGGGGCTACCACAAAGAAGAGGGAGTCAAGCAGGGGTGGGTTCTACTTACCTCTACTACCGGTTCGCAATGGGAGCACGCATGCATGCGCAGAAGCTTCTGGCATGCACAGATCGTCTATGATGATGTCCGGCCAGGTGGGCAGAGCCTCCCACCGCCTTTACTATGGTTCGCAAGAACTGGACCGAACCGGGAGCAACCCACCACTGGAGTCAAGCTTTCTCCAAAGCACCTGAGGGTAGGACAAGAAGCAATGGGTGGAAACTAATCAAGGAGAGAAGCAACTTAGAACTAAGGAGAAATTTCCTAACAGAACAATTAATCAGTGGAACAACTTGCCTCTAGAAGTTGTAAATGTTCCAACACTGGAAGTTTTTAAGAAGAGATGGGATAACCATTTTTCTGAAGTGGTGTAGGGTTTCCTGCCTAAGCAGGGGGTTAGGCTAGAGGACCTTCCAACAATGTTATTCTATTCTATTCTATTCTATTCTATTCTATTTTTCCATATTAAAACAAAAAAATGGCTCTGCTATCGATAAATGATAGATGACAAACAGGACTGTGTGTGTTTGTGTGTATGTATTTATTTAATATTAGAGCTGAGTCCTGTTTTATATATTAATAGAAAAATACCAATACACTTCTAAAACTAGTTTACAGGGTTAATCCAATAATTCATCTTGTGGCTCATTTTGGATTTAAATGGTTGCCACTTATCAGCCCTGTTAAAGTTAGATGTCTAGTACTTTCAATATATTCAGCAATGTTTTCACCTGAAATAACTAATTATCAGGCTGTATCCCCACACAAATTACATTTAAAGGAATTTTCTAACTATATGGATATAAACCCCAAAATTGTATATCTGTCACAAATTCAATGTTTATCTCTTTAGATTATTGCTTTTGTTAATGATATTAATTGTCATGGTATAGCTACTGTATTTTTCAGAGCATAAGACGCACCTACCTTTTTTGGTGAGGAAAAGAAGAAAAAGAAATCTCCCTCTGCCTCTGCCTCTGCCTCTGAGCAATTTTGCCTCGATGCAGCAAACAGCCTGCTTTATTTTCATTTTCGTTTTCAGTATAGCTTGATTAGCACAAGGAAAAGAAAATCTGCTCCAGCAATTTACCTCTTTGCAGCAAGCAGCAGAGCCCTGAGCAAAACAGCTGAGGGAAAATCAGCTGAGAGTCGGGAAACCGATCCAATCAACTTGTGCTAATTAGGCTGTGCTGAAGCTGAAAGGAGCTGTTTTTTCTTGCTGTTTGCTTGCAAGGAGGTAACTGCTGCGAGGCAGAGGCCAAAGGGTGGGGGCCAGTGGGTGGGCGGGGCTACATTCAGTGTATAAGACGCACCTAAATTTTCACCCCCTTTTAAGGGGGGGAAAAGGTGCATCTTATACTCCGAAAAATACAGTAAATTGTTTCATAACATTGTGCCGGTAATATTGTTTTATTTATGAGCCGGGGTGGCACAGTGGTTAGAGTGCTGTACTGCTGTACTGCAGGCTACTTCTGCTGACTGCCGGCTGCCTGCAGTTTGGCAATTCAAATTTCACCAGGCTCAAGGTTGACTCAGCCTTCCATCCTTCTGAGGTGGATAAAATGAGGGACCAGATTGTTGGGGGCAATATGCTGACTCTGTAAACTGCTTAGAGAGGGCTATAAAGCACTGTAAAGCAGTGTATAAGTCTAAGTGCTACTGCTGCTAAATGCTATCTGTTCTTAAGTGAATTGTTGTTCAATCCATTTTATATAAACTGACTGCATTTATTCTGTATTGTCTTTTTGTAAAAAAGAAAAAATACAAAATCAACTCAATTCTATCTTCCCTTGTGTTATTTTTTTGCTTAATGTTTCATTCATAGCCTAATATAAAAGACTGAGAAAAACAGCCAAGGCTATGATTAATTACTATTGTCTTGATTTATAAGGCAAAACTGAATTATTTGAAATCTATATTTTAGGTCAGTCTCAAAGACTTATCCACAGTCTCCCAAAACTAATAAAGCATATCCAGCTTCTGTGAAAAATCGTACAACTTCAAACTTGAACCAAGAAACTCCTAAAAAAAGAACAGCAAAAGTTAAAGACAGCCAGCGGGAGAATATTAGTCAAAGAACTCAAGCATCACCAGCTGAAGCTGTAAATCAGTCTAGTGCCGAAAAATATTCTATAGGAAAAATTGAAAATACTGAAGGTAGATTCTCATTTACTTGCCTTTGCTTCTTCTTTTTTATATACGTTTTTATTTTATTTTATAACATACAAAAATTCCAATTTTAATTGAACAGTGTGTTGTCTGAGTACAAATCATTTTAAGAAATAATAGTCAAAAGTATTTACAACAGTATTCATTGCATTAGTATCAGTTATAATAGTATTAATAATAATAATAATAATAACAATAATATTTGTTTAACCAATTTAACATATCTTCCTTATATCACTAGTCCTTCCATATATTTCCCTGTTTCTAGCTCCTGTTTTTGTCAGCTAACCATTGATAAAATAAGTCCCAAGTCAAAAAATATTCAGTTTCTTTCTTTTCCTTAATTATAAGTGTTAGCCTATCCATTTCTGCACATTCTAGTATTTTTTTAATCACCTTTTCATCTGCTGGGATCGCTTCACTTTTCCGTTGTTGTGCAAATACTATTCTAGCTGCAGTCAGTACATGTAAAATCAAATATACATTCCCTTTATTATATTTGTCTGGTAAAATGCCCAACAAAAATGTCTCTAGTTTCAAAACAATATGCTGTTTTATCATTTTTTCCAACCATGTATGTATTTTTGTCCAATATTTTTTCTCTTTTTCGCATGTCCACCACATATGATAGTACGAACCAGGTATCTGCTTTACAAATTTATCCTTAAACATCTTTGCTAACCTTGAAGGCAGAAAGTGCCATTTATGAAACATTTTATAAAGATTTTCTTTGTATACAGTAGACATTGTTAATTTATAGTTTCTATCCCATAATTTCTGCCATTGATCTAACTCAATTGAATAGCCAAAATGTTTAGCCATTATACTACCATTATCTCTTTTACTTGTTCATCTTTCATTTTAATACTTAACAAATAGTTATATGTTTTCTGTATTAATTTTTCATCTCTCCCTATTAATATCTGATCTAATTATGTTACTTCTCTATATAAATCATACATTTTAACATCCTTCTCATATCTAGATTGTATCTGTAAATATGACCACCATGTTATCTCAGACCCTAGGTCATTCAGTTCCTGCTTAGTTTTAAGTTCCCCTTTTTCATTTAAAATATCTTTATATCTGGTAACATTTTCTATATCAATAACATTTGGATAAATCAGTGCCTCCATTGTGGAGAGCCACACATTATTTTCAAATAATGTTGTTCTTTAATTTTCTTCCATACTAATAACAATACATTCCTAATATAGTGTCTTTGGAAAAAGCTATGTATTTTGTTTTTTCCATACCATAAAAAAGCCAACCTAGTTCGAGATCATGTCCCTCTGAGGTCAATAGTCTTTTGTTCCTCAAGCTAATCCATTCCTTCACCCAAGTAAGTATCAAGGCCTGGTAATACAATTCCCAATCTGGTAGCCCAAAACCACCTCTATTTTTAGAGTCTTGCAACATTTTCAAACTTATCCTTGCTTTTTTCCCTTGCCAAATATATTTTAATATTGTTTTATTTAATTCTTCAAAGTATTTTCCCCCAGTTTTATTGGTATTGTTTGAAATAAATATAGTAATCTTAGCAAGATATTCATTTTTATAGTAGCTATTCTTCCCATCAATGACAATTGTAGATTTTTCCACTTCTCCAAATCTGTTTTCATTTGTTACGCCAGTTTATAATAATTGTCTTCTTTAATTGTTACACACTTTGCTGTTAGTTGAATTCCTAAATATTTAACTTTCTTAACTATCTGTATATCTATTTTCCTCAGTAGTTCTTTTTTCTGTGTGTCTGTAATATTTTTAGCTATTATTTTGTTTTTTTGTTTATTTATTTTCAGTCCTGAAACTTCACTATATTCTTTTATTTTCCTTATTAATTTAAGTCCATTTTCTTGTGGGTCTTCCAAGATAAAAACCAAATCATCTCCATATGCCTATAATTTATATTGTTCTGTTTTTATTTCCATACCTTTAATTTCTATATTTTGTATAATATTTCTATTTAACACTTCCAATGTCAATATAAATAGTAAAGGAGATAGTAGACATCCTTGTCTTGTGCCTTTTTTATATTAAAATTCTCTGTCGTATCTCCATTTACCATCACCTTTGCCGTTTGTTTATGGTATATTGCCTTTATCATTTTAATAAATCTCTCACCAAAGTCCATACATTTTAGTTGTAAAAGCATAAATTGCCAGTTTATGTTGTCAAATGCTTTCTGCGCATCTAAGAAAATAAACACCATTTGTTTTTCAGGATGTGCTTCATAATATTCCAATGTATTTAAAATCATTGTCATATTGTTTTTAATCTGTCTCTTAGGCAAAAAACCACTTTGGTCTAGATGTATAAATTTATTTAAAAACTTTTTAAATTTAATTCTCTGCTATTATTGAAGCGTGTATTTTATAATCAGCATTCAGTAAAGATATATAATTTTTTATCTGCATTAAATCTGAGTCTTCTTTCAGAATAAGGGTAGTGTTTGCTTCCATCCATGAATTTGGTACCTTCACATCAATACTTCATTATAAACTTCCAACATTGATGGACCTAGAGTATCTTGTAAATATTTATAAAATTCTGCTGGTAGCCCATCTGGTCCTGGTGTTTTATTGCTTTTTTGTCTCTTAATCACTTCTGACAATTCCATCATTGATATTCATTCATTTAACATAGCTTTCACTGTATCTGGTACTTTAGGTAATTCCACTTTTTCCAAATATTGTTTAATTTTCTCTTCTGAAACTTTCTCTTGCTCATACAGCTTTTCATCTATGGCACTTTACTTTTACTTTATAGATTAGCCCTTGGGCCATATCAAAGTGCAGAGTTCCAGACACAAATTATTACTAAAATCTGATAAAAACAATTTAAAATGGAATTGGATAAAATACAATTTAAAATGAAATTGGAATAAAATACAGTTTAAAATGATAGCTTTGATTAGCCTATAGGTCATATCAAAGCACAAGGTGCAAACATATATCGCCAATAAAATCTTATATAAATGATTTAAAACAAGAGTAGGGTAAAATACAATAGTTATAGGATAAAATACAATATAATTTAATACATAAATATATAAAATAGAATAAAATGACATAAAATTATATTTCGGTGTCACCCTTACAATCTACCCCAATCAGTCCCACGTATGCAGATCTCAACCGAATCATTTTGTTTAAGTACTGTGCTGTGTTAAATGTTATTTTCAGGTTCTGGTCGCACATAAAGTAAGTTGTTTTGATATGGGGATCCCCATGGGTCATTCGTTTGGTATATGGACCAAGGTACCTGTCTCTCGCCCCTTATACAAGCAACAGTCAAATAGGATGTGAGCCAGGTTACAGCTTTTCATAATAGTCTTGAATTATTATTTTTTTTATCCTCATTTTGGTAATATATCTCATCTACCAATCTATGTGTCAGTTTCTTCTCTTTCTCTGTTTTCAGTTTATATGCCAACCATCTTCCTGGTTTGTTTGTTTGTTTGTCTGTTTGTTTATTAAACGTGTACAAGATAGCAGGTAAAAGTATAAACATAAACAAAGGAAGTAAGTACAGATAAATCCGGGCAGTAGAACAGGGACGGTAGGCATGCTGGTGCGCTTATGCACGCCCCCTTTATGGACCTCTTAGGAATGGGGTGAGGTCCACGGTAGACAGTTTGAGGTTGAAGCTGTGAGGGTTTGTGGCTGTAACAGTGGAGTCGGTTAGAGCGTTCCAGGCCTTGACCACTCTGATGCTGAAGTCGTATTTTCTGCAATAAAGTTTGGAGTGATTTACCTTGAGTTTATATCAATTGTTTGCCCATGTATTATTGTGATTTATTTATTTGTTTATATTTATATACCGCCCTTCTCCCGAAGGACTCGGGGCAGTGAACAGCCAACAGATAAAACACAAGAAATACAAAATTTAAAAACAGTATTAAAATCCATTAATCTGGCCCACAATTAAAAACACCCCTATATTAAAACCCATAATTAACAATTTAAAAATTAAACAATTTTAAAAAGTTAGGCCTGCCCGGCTTGCTGGAATAAAAACATCTTTAGGGAGCGGCGAAAGGTGCAAAGATCCGGAATCCGCCGTATCCCCGGGGGCAGCTCATTCCAGAGGGTAGGTGCCCCCACAGGTGCCTCCGCCGTATCCCCCTGGGGGCCGCCAGTCGACATTGTTTGACCGACGGCACCCTGAGGAGCCCCTCTCTGTGGGAGCGTACTGGTCGGTGGGAGGCTATTGGTGGCAAAAGGCGGTCTCGTAAATACCTAGGTCCTAAGCCATGGAGCACTCTAAAGGTGGTAATCAATACCTTGAAGCGCACCCGGAAGACCACCAGGAGCCAGTGCAGCTCATGCAGGAGAGGTGTTACATGGGAGTGCCGAGTCGTCCCCATAACCACCAGTCGCCCCCATAACCACCCGCGCGGCCGCATTCTGGACCAGCTGGAGCCTCCGGGTGCTCCTCAAGGGGAGCCCCATGTAGAGAGCATTACAGTAGTCCAGGCAGGAAGCTGAAGAAGTCATTGACAGGTAAGATGTTGTAGTAGATAATTTTGTGTACTATGCTTAGATCGAACTGCAGGCAGCACAGTTCCAGATTGTCCAAGCCCAGAATTTCAAGTCTGGTGGCATAAGAGATTCTACTGTGAGTAGAGAAGTGGAGTACTCTTCTCGTGAAATACCTCTGGACCCGTTCAATCGTGTTAATGTCCAATATACAGTGTGGATTCCAGGTGGATGAGGTGTATTCAAGAATTGGTCTAGCAAAGGTTTTGTATGCACTAGTTAGCAGTACAATGTTACCAGAGAAGAAGCTTCGCAAGATTAGGTTAACAATTCTTAATTCCTTTTTGACAATGCTGTTACAGTGAGCTCTGGGGCTTAGATCATTTGAGATGAGTACTCCTAGATCCTTGACAAAGTGAGGGTCGTCTACGAGATCGTTTTCGCCCAAATTGTATTTGGTGTTCTGATTTTTTTTGCCAATATGCAGGACAGAGCATTTATTAGTTG